TGAATCAGTTCTTCCTGATCGTTCTTATTTGTAGTTTTGAAGTTATGAGTGCAGATGAGATCAGGGTGGGGGTGAGTTCACAGGCTCTCAGCCTGGAAAAAATTTGAAAATGGAAATCCAGTACTTCAAATCACCATGGGAGCATCTCCACATACCTTAAATATGCAGAGGATACGGGCAGCATGACCAGTGAGGAAGTGATTCTAAGACCTGGGAAGATATGTGTACCAAATGAGGCATGTATCAGTCACGGTTCTTCGGAGAGGCAGAAACCATCATATATAAATAGATACATGAGAAAGGACTTACTGGGGGAATTGGCCCATGTGATTATAAAGTCCCTTGAGAAGTCCCACGACAAGCTGTCTAGAAGCTGGAGACCTTGGGATGTTGATAGCCTGGCTTAGTTCAAGTCTAAAGGCCTCAGAACCTGGTAAGATGATGGTGTAATGCTCAGTCCAAGGTCAAAAGCCTGAAAACCCAGGGGAGCTGCTAGTGTTAAGTCCTAGCGTCCAGAAATCAGGGAGCCCGAAGTTCTGATGTCCAAGGACAGGTGAAGGAGAGGGTGTCCCAGCCTCAGGAGATAGAGTCACATTTGCTTCTCCTCTGCTTTTGTTCTATCATGACCCTCAACTGATTGGATGGTACCCACCCACATTGACAGTGGATCTTCCCTCCTTAGTCCACGCAGACTCACACACTAATCTCCTCTTGAAACAGCCCCAGAGTGCTCATAGGCACACCCCCAAATAATGCTTTCTCTAGGTATTTCTTAATCCAGTCGACCTGACACCTAAAACGAGCCATTACAAGGTGGCTTCTATGGGATGCCGCAAGTTACACGTACAGTCAAAACGTTACATCTGAGGCTTTTGCATAGAAATATTTTGGAAATATGTTTATTTTCTTGTCTGGACAATTCTGTGTTGCCTTAGAGGGTGGCCAGCCTGGCTTTTAGCTTAGTAATATAGAAGATGGGTCATGCTGGCATGGGGCGAGGTAGTAGCTTGACTGCTTAGGCAGTGCCACATTTTTAATTAACTATTGATTAGTAGGATTTGTGTATTGAGGTTAATCAGGTGCAGCAAGAACAGATAACTTTACTGGGCTTCCTTTAAGCTTGAGTATATAAATCTAATGCAGGGTGACTGTATATTAGAAACTTTTTTTTTTTGTCTAGAAGTAATCAGTGCAGTCTCAAAGCTGAGAATAACAAGCACAATTCAACCTTCTTCTATTTGTGCAAATCTGTGTTTTATTTTCTTCTTAGGTTATGGAGCAAAGGGGATGTATTTCTCTTTCTCGGAAAAACCTCACTATATAAGGTGAGCAACAGCCCTTTACTGTGGAAGGGACAAATGCATTATTTTCCCAACAAGGAGTCACCTTGCATTCCCAGAGATAGCTGCAGCTGAAGTACAAGGATTTGTCAGGGAAGAAATATTGTTGAGCTTCCCACTAACTCAGGAGTATCTTCAGGTTAAATTGGAAGGTCTTGTGACGAGGCTGAGAAAAATATACCAAGTGAGAGTTTTTGCTGAAAGATTACCGTTTCTTGATGCCAGATGTATGAAACCATGATTGTATTTATCGTGAGTGAGCGATCCAAGAGTGAATTTTAACCACGTGGTTCCTTACCTGGCAGCCTCTCAAGAGATCCTGGAGTTCACCTCTTTGCGAAATCAAAACAAACAACTACCCTAGCTGTCTGTTTGGAACTTGGAAATGGCTGTAGTTCTTCAAGCCTGGACAGAGGAAAAGCTGAGGAGAGGGCACCTGAGTCCTCAAGGTATTTTTTTCTCTTGACACTCCTGCAGAAATCTGGGGGCCTGATAGTGTCCGTCTTTGTGACCTCTTAGAATCCTTTGTGATTTCCTGGACCACGAGGTAAACAACGCAGGCTAGCACCTCATCTTTTCTGCAAACCACTCTCTCGTCTCTCCTGTTTTCAAAACAATATTATTCAATTTATGTGGCGCAGGGTGGTCACATGACTCAACTTTGTCCCATTAGAGGACTCAATCCTGTTGGCCACATTGATTGGTCCAGGAATGGATACATCCTAAGAACAAGCCAATCACGGCTTTCCCTGACTCTTTTCTCAGAGGTTGTGGGAAACACACTTTTTCCGAAGCTGGGTTTGACATAGGCTTGAAACTGTGAACTGCTGTCTTGTGTCCACCTGGATAAAGCTTGTCTGATAACAAAGCGAAGTGGAGCTGAGGGATAAAGAGAGAGAGACATGCAGAGAACCCTGATGACATTATTTGAACCTAGATGCAGCTAAGCCTGGAGCTAGGACCACCCCCTCAAACTTGTGGGGCACATAAGTCTCCAGCATTTTAATGTAAGCTGGTTTGTGTTTCTGCTGTTTGCTCGTGACCTTATTGGTTAAACCTGGCTTCAGTGTATTACTCAATCCAGAGAAACAGCATGGTTTCAACACATGAGGCAGAAACGTTGCATTGAATTGTTTTCATTAAAACAGAAATACCCAGTAGCTCCAGTTAGAACATTTCTCAGGAAGACTGAGAGGCTGGTAGAAGGAGTTTGGTGGAAGCCTTAAAACGTCTTTGTCTTATTGGGGAGAGCGGGGTGAAAAAGAAGGAATGAAAACATTTGGTGAGGGCAGGGGTCGGCATCGTGTTTCCGCAGAATGATGGAGAAACATGTTTATGAATGGTTAGAAAGGGAAAGTCAATTTCCAAAGAGAAAATCGAGCAAATGAAAGTTTGTTTCAACCAGGGAAAAATGAAGACAGGAAATAAAGGAAAATAAAGAACATGCATGAAGCAGTAGCAAAGGGTCAAAATCAAGCCTATCACTTACACTAAATATAAGTAGATTGGACTTTTTCTATTAAAAGACAGTGACTGTCAGTAGATTGGACTTTTTCTATTAAAAGACAGTGACTGTCAGTTGGGCTTAAAAAACACAAAATCCAAAATCTAGGTCTCAGTGTCTTCATCTGTAAAATGCAGATTTAATGAGTGTGGTGTGTATCTGTGTGTGTACACATATATTTAGAAGCACGAGTGAGTCATGCTCTATGCAACATTGTGCAGCTTCTTTTTTTCAGAAGCCATATGTCCTAAGGATCACTCTATGTTGGCACATAAAAGCTTGCTCCATTTTTTAGTAGCTGCATGTATTCTGCTTTATGGCTATACCATAAATTCATTTAGTCAAACTCTTGTCATGGATGTGTCAGTTGCTTTGGTTGTTTGCTTTTCTAAACGATGTGGCAATAAAACTTCCTCTATGCCAGTTGGGCTCACTCATGTGGATGTATCTTGAGGATCAGTCCCTAGAAATGAGATTGCTGGACAGAGGGTACGTGCACTTAACATGTTGAAAGACATTACCAAATTAGACGGTTTAACTTGCAAGTGTACCTTACTAGGAGAAAATCTGTTAGATTGAGTCCACCCTGTAAATGTTATATTTGAGTAGTTCATTTATTAAATTGATTTGTGTTCTGCTTCTTCCCCAAAAGGGCTCATGGAAGCTTATAGCAAGAGGCAAACCAAATAAGCCTGAAAATAATAAACATTCGGACAAAAGCCAATATGGTAACAGTAACAGCCAGCACATATTTTGAGTTGCAACAGTTGCAATGTCTAGCATGTATCAAGTGTTCATTTATGTGTATAAACCCAACGAAACCTCGCAATTCCATTAGGAAGGGACTGGCCTCTCCATTTTCAGGTGGGAAAACCCAGGCACACAGAAGGTTAGATAATTTGTTCAGTGTTACACAGCGAGTGGTGAAGCTGGGTTTGAACTCAGTCAGGCTGGATTCAGTCTACCCTTTTAGCCATCATGATATGCTGCTTCTCCAAAAATAGGCTTCTGAGGAGGAAGGATGAAGCTGGACACAGATAGTTTTTTTTTTTTTTTTTTTTTGGAGACCGAGTCTTGGCCTGCCATTCATGCTGGAGTGCAGTGGTGAAATCTCAGCTCACTGCAACCTCTGCCTCCCAGGCTTAAGCGATTCTCGTGTCTCAGCCTCCTGAGTATCTGGGAGGAGCACACCACCATACTAACTGTAGTATTTTTAGCAGAGGTGGGCTTTTTCCATGTTGCCCAGGCTGGTCTCGAACTCCTAGGCTCAAGTGATCCACCCACCTTCACCCCCCAAAGTGCTGGGATTACAGGCGTGAGCCACCATGCCTGGCCAACAGATAGGTTATTATTATTGATTCATTGAGCTGCCAGATTATTCATTCAATCATCCAACAGATGGCTCTCAAGGCAGCTCTTTGCCAAGAGCACTGGGGTAATAGTGAACAAAAGTCTCTGGGGTCCCCACCTCTACTTGCTTATGGGGGTCAAATCGCTTCCTGAGTGCACTCATCTGGATGCAAGGCTGTCCTTCCTTGCTGAATGGTGGGTCCCTCGGATCCATGTGTCATTCTTGCTGCAAGGAGAGAGGACTCTTTGAACCCTTGGTCCTCAGTCTCAGCATCACTGATTTGGTGGCCCTTGCCTCATGCATTGTCAGCCAGAGCTTTTGGCTTGATCATTGCAACCCATCAAGATCCCCTGGCAGGTGGGGCAAGTTTGCAGACAGCCCTGTAAGCCTGGTTCCCCAGATACTGGACTGAGCTGTAACCTCCTCACTGCTGAGGTGTGGTGGCCTCAGCCAAGCTGGGAGGGACCTCAGGGGGTCCCAGTGTCCCAGGGAGTGAAGGGGCAGTTTGAGCTTTCTACTTCTTGTCCTCTGGTGGGAAAGCGCTGCGCATGGGCTTTTGCCTTGCTTGGACACTTGGTCAGCCAGGCTTAGGTAAATTGAGGTTTGCAGCCTCAGTTTTTTCATCTGTAAAATGATAAAAATCAATGCCATTTCTGGCCAGGTGCAGTGGCTCCTGCCTGTAATCCCAGCACTTTGGGAGGCCAAGGCAGGTGGATCATGAGGTCAGGAGTTCGAGACCAGCCTGACCAACATGGTGAAAACCCATCTCTACTAAAAATACAAAAATTAGTCATGTGTGGTGGCACGTGCTTGTAATCCCAGCTATTCAGGAGGCTGAGGCATGAGAATCACTTGAACCCAGGGGGCGGAGGCTGCAGTGAGCCGAGATCACACCACTGCACTCCAGCCTGGGTGACAGAGTGAGAAGAACACACAGGGAGGGGAATATCACACACCAGGGCCTCGGGGGTAGAGACTAGGGGAATAGCAGGGGTTTGGGGGATTGCGGATGGATAACATTAGGAGAAATACCTAATGTAGATGATGGGGCGATGGATGCAGCAACCCACCACCATGGCACGTGTATACCTGTGTAACAAACCTGCACGGTCTGCACATGTGCCCCAGAACTTAAAGTGTAATAGAAACCAACCAACCAACAAATGAAAGGCCATTTCCACTTTGACTCTTTGAAACACATGTGAAGCAAACATAACAAAACAAAGGAAATTTTTATTCATTCCACACATACTTTTTTTTTAAGTACCTATGTGTGCCAGGCACTGAACTCAGCCCTGGGGCTCTCTTGATGAACAGAAGGACCAGGCTGTCTTCTCATGAAGTGCACAGGTTGGTGGGGAGTATATCTAAATCAAATAGTCCCAGCAGAAATAATAGCAAACATTTACTGAGGACTTTCTACATGCCAGGCACATTTCTGGGCACTTCTCAGGGTGTCAGCTCAGTTAACCCTCACTGCAGCTCCAAGAGGTGGATGCTTTTATGATCCCCATTTTACAGGTTTATAAACTAAGGTACAGAATGATCAAGTATGTGTCCAAGGTCCTCGGCTAATAAGAGGAGAAGCAGGGGGTCCATAGGCCTCAGGCTCCCAAACCTGTGTCTCTGAATGAGATACCAATCTTGCCTCTATGCTGTAAAGTAATGCAGGAGCAAAAGAGCGGTGGGCTTGAGAGAGTATAATAGTGAGAACTGAATTTCTATTGGAATGTTTGGAAAATTCCCTTAGGAGGACGTGGAATTGGGAAGAGTTATGATGGAGGAGAAGGAGCCCGTCTTACAGACATGGGCGTATGTGTAGGAGTTGGAGAGAGGCAGAGGGAACAGGACTTGCAAAGGCCCTGGGGTAGACGCAACATGGAGGGCATTTGCGGAAGGGAAAGAAAACCCTTGTGTTTGGGATGGTGGAATTGGAGGTGCCCTTGAGACTTGGCGCAGTGCCTGGAACATCGGAAAAGCTCGGTAGAGTGTAGCCCTTGCTGTGTTCTGAGAGCGGAAGAAGCAGGGAAACAGGTTTCAGACATGACTTGCTCCTCCAAGCCTGCTGCTGAGCATAGCAGTTATCATCTTGAAGTACTACCATCAGGTGCAGATAAATCCCATCTGGTCACCTCTGGCCTCCTTCTCCAGGTGTGGGTCCTACAAGCGTGGGTTCCCTTTGCTGGGGAATCCTTGGGTGAGGGGCTTTGGCTCCCTCTCACCCCTTCAAGGAATTCTCCTTTGTCAAATTCACCGCGTGTGCTTCCTTTTTCTCTATCAGTCTTGCAGTGGGGTGAAGGCAGCTCCAACCTGCTTTCAAAGCTGAGCAAATAAAGCTCTTTTACAATTGGTTCCATTGTAGAGAGAGCATTAGACTGATTTATTCAAATCAGTTCTGGGTAAAAGCCATAAAAGAGAGCTTAAGAATGAGCTCTGAAACCCAGCTGATGGGTGAGCACCTCCAGTGGGGCGGTGCGTGCCTGGCTTCTGAGGGGAGTGGGGGGCTGCTTGCACTCTGGGCAGGCTCAGACAGCATTTTCCTGGGGGACGGGGGTCAGACGAGGCCTCCAGTGGTGGGTGAGGATGCTGCTGTTCCTTAAGCTCCTGGCGGAGATGAAACGGTCCAGTGTGTCTTTTGTTTTGGCTCCTGAAGGGCGGGAGGCCTCATTGTGCAGCATCTTTTGGGAACATAAGCTGTTGTCATAGCTGGAAGGGATCATCAGATAACCTGGTCGGAGCCCCTCCCTTTTGGCAGTAGAAGGATAGGTGGCTAGAACCAAAGAAGCTGGAGCAGCTTGTCCAAGGTCACTGCCAAATTAGCGGAAGAGTCAGAATTCAGATTGAAGTCTCCCAGCTTCCTTCTTCAGCAGTGCTGTTTTTATCACAGAAGCCACATCCCAGCTTATAAAGAAAATCAACCAACCAATTAACCACAAAGGACCCTGATGGTAAGGCCTGCCGTTTATCCAACTAAAACCATCTATGCTTTAATTTTTTTTTTTTCTTCTTCAGACAGAGTCTCACTCCGTCACCCAGGCTGGAGTGCAATGGTGGGATCTCAGTTCACTGCAACCTCTGCCTCCCAGGTTCAAGCAATTCTCCTGCCTCAGCCTCCCCCATAGCTGGGATTACAGGTTCATGCCACCACACCCAGCTAATTTTTGTATTGTTAGTAAAGATAGGGTTTCCTATGTTGGCCAGGCTGATCTCAAACTCCTGAGCTCAGGAGCTCCGTCCATCTTGTTCTTCTAACATGCTGGGATTACAGGTGTGAGCCACCATGCCTGGCCCATGTATGCTTTAATTGAAGTCACTTTGCTTTGCTTTGGTACTTTGCACATATGAAGAATTAATCAGCACCGTCTTCATAAAAATTCTTGGTTGAAATCAGAAGAGAGGGGGGAAAATAATCTCTAAATTTGCTTCACTTGAATTCATGTAACTTCTCAAACAGGATGAGTTTCTTTTCGTTATGTTGCTCTTGCCTTCTGTCCCCTCACGCATATGTCTGCCACTTAGTAGCTGTGTGATCCGGATCCCTGGTCAAGTTACTCAGTCTCTCTGAGCCTCCGCATCCTCATCTGTGTGATGAAAATTGTGCATGCCTCATCAAGGTGTCAAGGCTGGATAGCATGAGGCATATAAAGCAATCAGCAGTGCCTGGCCCTATCAGTTGCTCAAAAATGTTATTCTTTTTTTTTATTATTTGCACAGAGGAAATGAATGAGCCTCTTCCCTGTTGGATAAATGTCTGCTGTTCTGTATTCTGCTTTCAGACTGATCTGGCCTGCCTCTCATCCTGCTGCTAGGATTGTTCATGGATACCTCTTTCTCTCTATCTAATGCCCCTGCCTCACCTTCAGCATATATGCACACAGCACCTGTGTGCACACTTGCGTGTATGAAACACAGACTCTCCATTTCAAGTTGCAAGTGAGAGCTTTAAGAGAGAGTAGTAAAATGTGGGCAGTAAGAAGGAATGTGAGTCCTTTTTTTTCTTCTTCTGGAGACAGGGTCTCACTCTGTCACTCAAGCCGGAGTGTAGGGGTGCAGTCATGGCTCACTGCAGCCTCAACCTCCCTGGCTCAAGTGATCCTCCCCCTTCAGCCTCCCAAATAGTTTGGACTATAGGCACGTACCACCATATCTGGCTAATATTTGTATTTTTTGTAGAGATGGGTTTTTGCCGTGTTGCCCAGGCTTGTCTTGAAATCCCGGGGTCACATGATCTTCCTGCCTTGGCCCCCTAAAGTTCTGGGATTAAGGTGTGAGCCCCTGAACCCAGCCACATCCTTATTTCCTAACCCTTTCATTGTCCAGTGTTTTCCTGCCCTGGACTGGGTTGGGAAATAGCATGTTTTAAGTTAGTGCAGCTTGAGACCAGTGTGCATAGTGTGGACTTGAGTACTGAGCCCTTTTGATTCATTGTCTCCTGTCCAGGGGTTTGGTGCCCAAATCAAAACAGACATCAGAACCCAGACAAGGTGTTCCCAGGTGGTCCTTGTGCCTGGGCCCTGCACAAGCTGTGTTTTCTTGGCCAGCTGGACGGTGTCCCTGTTTCTGTCATAGAAGCTTCCCTTCTGGGGCACAATGTTGTCATCACTACAGGTGTGTCCAACAGCACTAAAGAGAGGGGAGGAAAAGAGGAGGGAAGGAGGGCAAAAGGAGGAGGGAAGCAGGAATAGAGAGGAGGGAGCAAGTGCGAGTGAGAGGGATGGAGGGGGAGGAGGGGAAGTCTCAGAAACCTGCCATCGTCCACTGCCTGGAAGGGAAAGGGAAGATCTGCTCTGGCCGTGGTGTTGAAGTACAAGTGCCCTGCAAGGGACTGCGAGGCAGCACCACCCCAACCAGCAAGAAATGAGAGAGAAAGAGAAGGGAGTGGGGAGGGAGGAGTGGGGAGGGACGGGAGGAGGGAAAGAGGGAGGGAGAGGGGAAGAGACAGAGGAATGGAGGGAGGGAGAGAGCTAGTGAGGAGGGAGGAAAGGGGAGGGAGTAAGAGAGAGGGAGGGAGACAAAAACAGAGAGAGGAAGAGAGAAATAGAGGGAGAATGAGAGAGAGGGAGGGAGAGAGATGGATGCAGAGGCAGGAAGAGAGATGAAGAGACAAGGGATCGAGGGAGGGAAGAGATAGATAGAGAAAGTCAGAGAGGGAAGGAGAGAGGGAGAGAGGGGCTGATAGAATGCTAACTCCTGCCTAGATTAGGGATCAGATGCCAATACCACAGGTTCACGTTGGGGAGACACACATCTTTATTTTTTGCCAGCATTTTTGTTCACTTCCCCAGGAGGTGTGTGTATATGTGTGCATGTGAACAGGGATTATTACTACTATATGAATTTCACTCCATGTTGGAGGCATTGCTTGGGACAATATCTTACTCATGCCTATAAAACAGCAGGGCAGCATAGCTGGGGCTTGAACATAGGCAGCCTTGCCCATGGGGACACCAAAGCCTCGCCTGCAGTGCAGAGGGCTGGCAGTCCTGTGGGAGGCACAGTGAAAGATGATTCCGTTGTCTTATGAGGCCTTGGCTTCTAGCTCAGCCCAAGGGGATAGGGGATGATTTTTTTTTTTACTCTGGTTTGGTGATCAAGGGTATTCCCCATTTCTCATGGATGCTTATTTGGTTTGCTCTAGTTTAATCTTCTGAAGGTAACCAGGGGCCAGCTGTCTGCATTCTGTGCCTCACAGGGACCTTCTGGGATCTCACTGGCTTCCACGAAGCTCAGGGATTTCCATGCAGGAGCAGAAGATGTTGGGCACGTGGCTGCATGGTGCCTCAGAGCTCGGGCTCAGGAACCAGACATGCCTGCATTGAAGTCATTTCTGGCCCTCACTATGGTCCTGGGTGACGTTTCTTGTTTTGTTCCTGAGGTGGATGTGGAGGCTCCTGGGTGGTGACTGGTATTTGGAGATGAGAGAATAAAGGATAAGGCTTTGTGTTAATGTCAACCCTGAGATTATTATACAATGTACCATGGTCCTTGCTAGTCCTAACCAGTCACCTTGATCTTATAGTGATTCCTCAGAAAGTTCTGGAAGGTAAGTGTCTTTGAGAAGTGACCAGTGTGGGCTTGAGGCTGACCACTGAGATGCAAGTCCCAGTTCTATCCTTTACTAGCTGGATGACCTTGAATCACCCGGCTTGAATTTCTCACAGCTTCATCTTCCTCATATGTAGAACGGGAATAATAATAATAATGATAATAACAATATCCACCTCACTGGGTTCGAAAAAAGATTAATTTTTATTTTTTCTTGAGACAGGGTCTCACTGTCATCAAGGCTGCTGTGCAGTGACACAATCAAGGCTCACTGCAACCTCCACCTCCAGAGCTCAAGTGATTCTCCTGCCTCAGCCTCCTTGGTAGCTGGGACCACAGGTGCGTGCCACCACACTTGTGTAATTTTTATATATTTTTTTTTGTAGAGATGGGGGTCTTACTATATTGCCCAGGTTAATCTCAAACTCCTGAGCTCATGTCATCTGCTTGCCTTGGCCTCCCAAAATGTTGGGATTACAGGTGTGAGCCACTGCTCCTGACCTATAAAGATTAAATGAACTAATACACACAAAATGTTTAGAACAGTGCTTGACACAGGGTAAGCTCTTAAAAATATCAGCTATTATTGTTTCTTCAACTTTTAGGGTCAGAGGTATATGTGCAGGTTTGTTATGTAGGTAAATGTGTGCCATGGTGGTTTGCTGCACAGATCAACCCATCACCAGGGTATTAAGCCCAGCATCCATTAGCTATTCTTCCTCACACTCTCCCTCCACAACCAGGAGGACCCATTTTGTGTTGTTCCCCCGACGTGTCCATGTGTTCTCATCGTTCGGCTCTCACTCATAAGTGAGAACATGTGGTGTCTGGTTGTCTGTGTTAGTCTGCTGAGGATAACAGCTTTCAGCTCCAACTATGCCGCTGCAGAGGACATGATCTCATTCCTTTTCATGGCTGCATAGTATTCCATGGTGTATATGAACCACATTTTCTTCATCTAGCCCATCAATAATGGGCATTTAGGTTGACTCCTTGTCTTTGCTATTGCAAATAGTGAATATCAGCTGTTATTATCTTATTACTATTATTACTGTGTTGCCTCAGAAAATGATAACCCAACCTTTGGCACTTTGACATGCCGAATGCTTTGAACTAAAATAGGAAGGCCCCAGAAAAAAGTCTCAGAACTAAGGTCTCTGTGACCTTCCCCTGCTCCCCATCTCTCCAATGCTTTTTCTATTCTCAAGCACAGGGAGGAACTCTCTCTGAAAATGTCTTATCTGATTAAAGAGACTTCTTCCCAAACAAATGCAATTGTCCTAAGACTCCCCTCCCTAGGAATCTCATCGAATAACCACCAGAGAAGAGAGAAGAGACTAAAAGCCATCACCATGCTGAGACAGATTTTTCATCTATTCTTCTGAGGGCAGCTCCAAGAGATTACCTGGGAGACCTTCTCTGCATAATAAGACAACCTTTGCTCACAGCAGAGTTCTGCCCCTCACCTTTCCACCACCTCCCTCAGAGCTCAGAGGGATCTTGTCCCAGGTCATTGTTCTTTAGGGTCATTCATTTCCCTTAGAAATTATGTGTTACCCCTAAAATTACCCACAGGCCCTTTATTTCCCTTCCCCCTAAGATAAATAGTGTTTAAGCCTCAACAACCTGGTCTGTCCTTGAGCCTCCTATTTGCAGGACTCCTGTGTCCGTATACACACCAAGAAATCTGTATGCCTTTTTTGTCCTGTGTACTGTTTATTTATCAGTCCTCTCAGGGAGCCTTCCGTGGGCAAAGAGGACACTTTTCCTCTGTCCCTACATTACCATGGCTCTTGTCAACTAGAAAGCCCTGGGAACCAATGTGTGCTTTCTGTCTTCAGTTTCCTTATCTGAAAAATGGGGCTGCTGGTAACAGTCGCTTCAGTAGCACAAGAAATAAATGAGAGCGGTCACACAAAGTACTCCCTCACGGTGTCGGCATCCAAATCATGACATTTCCCCTTTCCTCCTTTCTTTGTTCATGTTCAAGATCAAGGCATATCAAATATTGGAATAAATGCACAGTTTGGTGGTTCTTGTGTTTTTGGGGTCATGGGTCCTCTTATAAACTTGAATGCAGAATCATAGCTCCCTCTCAGGGTTCAATAATTCAATGAACTATAATGGGTTTTTATCTCATTGCCCAGAACACCCCATCTTAATTGCTTCTTCACACGATATATTAAATACGATTTTCTAGGAAAAAATGTGACCCACGAAAGTGAGTTCTTAAAAGTCAAGCTCTCAGCCAGGCACAGTGGCTCATGCCTGTAATCCCAGCACTTTGGGAGGCCAAGGCAGGAGGATCGCTTGAGCCTAGGAGTCCAAGCCTTCAGTAAGCTACATTTGCACCACTGCACTCCAGCCTGGGTGGCAGAGTGAGATCCTGACTCTTAAAAAACAAACAAAGTAATGATGGTGAGATGTGGAGAATCGGAGGGCCCCAGAGTGCTTGGCTGTGGATCTGTGCAGAAGCTTCTGAGTCCAGAATCTCTGCCTGTTCTGAGACACACTGTTCTCATCTCATGGCTGCCCTTGGCCCCGTGTGAGGCTGTGTAATGGCTGAAGACAGGATGCTGTTGGGTTGAGGAGGCCTTCCTCCTTCCCCAGTGCTGTCTTGCACACACACAGGCTGCGTGGGTGTTGCCTTTAACTCTCTTCTCTCAGCTCTGCAACTTATGGTACAGCCGCACCAGGGAGAAGGCAGGGATTCATCTTTTTTGGGAGAGCCCTTGCATGTATTAAAAGGCTCTTGCAGCAAATCATGGGTACAGGCTGTGTCCCATGCAGGAAACAATGGGACACAGCCTGTACTCATTTCTTTCTCTCTTTTTTTTTTTTTTGAGACAGAGTCTTGGTCTTTTGCCCAGGCTGGAGTGCAATGGCAGGATCTTGGTTCATCGAAACCTCTGCCTCCCGGGTTCAAGCAATTCTCCTGCCACAGCCTCCTGAGTAGCTGGGACTGCAGGCCTCCACCACCATGCCTGGCCAAGTTTTGCATTTTTAGTAGAGATAGGGTTTCACCACGTTGTACAGGCTGGTCTCAAGCTCCTGACCTCACATGATCTGCCTGCCTCAGCCTCCCAAAGTGTTGGGATGACAGGCATGAACCACTGTGCCTGGCCTGCCCATGTCTATTTCATCAGAACAAGAGAAGGGGAGATTCAGATAATCAAGACAAATATCCATGTGCCCCAATACCCAAGATGCCTCTGTGAAGAGCTAGCAACCGTGGTTCAGAGAGATGCTGAGGTCTGATGTTTGTTCTCTTGTCCTTGCAGGTGTCTGCTCACCAAGTTGGTTCGAAGCTGAGGAGGAAAAAAATTAGGTGCTAGGACGCCGGAGAGCCCCTCAGAAACCCCTCTACGTGAATCACTGAAGTAGATGCAGAGCTGGATTGCAATAATCCTTGAGAGGAGAAGAATGAAACCTGAGATTCCAGTCACATCCCATAATTTAAAGGGGAAATGGGTAAAAAGTGAAATTTTCAAACTTGGAATCACACTGGAATATTACTTGCACCTTTATAGTTAATAATAAAATTTCAAATTAAAAATTGGGCCAGGTGCAGTGGCTCATGCCTGTAATCTCAGCACTTTGGGAGGTTGAGGCAGGGGGATTTCTTGAGCCCAGAAGTTTCAGACTAGCCTGGGCAACACAGGGAGAGACCTTGTCTTTACAAAAAATAAAAAATTAGCCAGGCATCTTGGCATGCCCCTGTGGTCCCAGCTACTTGGGAGACTGAGGCAGGAGGATCGCTTGAACCTTAGAAAGTAGAGATGGCAGTGGTGCAGATTGCACCACTGCACTCCAGCCTGGGCGACAGAGTGAGACCCTGTCTCTAAAAAAATCAATCAATCAATCAATCAATCAATCATCAGTCTCCAGTAGCACCGTGGTTGGGCTGACACAAAGCTTGTTGATGACCCTGCGGAAGCTATAATCCTTGTGTAATTTACAGGGGCTGGCCATGTAGAGACACACACGTTCCAAACAAGGTGGAAGTTGAGAAGCTATGAGCAGAGATAGGCAGGCATCTCGGGGCATATGCTGGGAAGAATGAGCCATTCTGGCCTCAATAAGATGGAAAGTAAGATGGGACTCATGGAATTCTCAGCAGCAGTGCAGGGGCAGACACCCTGACTCGTCAGTTCAGTATCTTAGGGGTACGGCTGGCTTTGGGGTCATGGCCAGCCACTAATGGCCACTTGGAAGGTGGTTTGCAGATGGCATCAGGAGTTAACTGGCTTGTGGGGCAGTTTCCTGAAGAAGTTATGGGGGTATGTGTATGTGGGGGTAATCATTACTCCCGGCTTGGATTTCTCATTGGGGAGGAAGCAGCGACACCCTGAACTCAGGGATCTGCTCTTATGGGGGCACCTATGTAGGGCGGATAGCGGGGAGCTCAGGGACAGCAACTGTCTCTTCCTGATAGAGTGCTGGGAAGTCAGCTGAGAATCTAAGGCAGGTGTTTGTGGGAAGAGAGTGGTTCTAACTGTTGCGTTTTTCGCCACCCCTCCTAAATAGCTAGAGGTTTGCAAGAGGGATTTCAGCAGGGAAGCCAAACCTTGGGGTTTATTTTCCTTATGCCCTAATTCACAGCCAGCTTAAGATGTGGGTCTCAAAGCTTCTAATGGCTGATCTAGCTGCAGAGCGAGCTGCAGCAGTTCCCCGGCCCTCGCCTCTGACTTCCCAACTTAGGTCCACAGTCTCATCAGCATTCAGCCTCCCTCCTTTTCTTTACCAGAATCTCATTCAACTTGAGGGCTAGACTCACCTTCTTTGTAAGAAAAGTACCTGAGCTGGCCAGGCACAGTGACTCACACCTCTCATCCTAGCACTTTGGGAGGCTGAGGCAGGTGGATCATGAGATCAGGAGTTTGAGACCAGCCTGGCCAACATGGTGAAACCCCCTCTCTACTAAAGATACAAAGAATTAGCTGGGCGTGTTGGCACATGCCTGTAATCCCAACTACTGGGGAGGCTGAGGCAGGAGAATCGCTGGAACCTGGGAGGTAGAAGTTGCAGTGAGCTGAGATCATGCCATTGCATTCCAGCCTGGGTGACAGGGTGAGACTCTGTCTCAAAAAAAGAAAAAGAAAAAGAAAAAAGTACCTGGGCTGATAATATTTAACAACAAACACGTTTTGAGCCCTTATTGGGTGTTAGGATTAGAGCTCTACATGCACAATTTTGTTAAATTCCCATAACGATCCCACCAGGTAGTGTTCTGATGCCCGTTTTACAGATGCAGAACCTGGGGTTTCCAGAGGTGCAGTCCCTCCTGAGCTAATGCAGTTACGAAGGCTGAAGCCCGGACTGGATTTGAGTTCAGCCTGCAGAACCCAAGCTAAGGTACCTGCCCTCTAGCCCCATGGTGGAAGGGAAGGGGGGAATCCAGATGTCCTTGAGACCTGCCCAAGGAGTTTCCTCGTCACTGCTCTGCCATCCTGAGGCCACCCTGCTCCCTGTGTCTGGCTGGAGCGGCCTAGTTAGGGCTGGGTTTGGCTCCATGACAGGTGTGGCTGGTGGTCTTACTATTCCTGTGCACGCTGGCAACTTTTGCCTGAAGCGCTCTGTGGCCGCGAATGCCCACTTTGCTGAAAGTTCTTGGAAATGAAGGCCCTCTAGGGAGTATCTCTCAGCTGTGACTGGTGAGATTTCAGGAAGGAATCGCCCAGCTCCTGCAGGCCTACGCGGGATGTCTGAGCTGCACCGTCTACATGTTCTCTCAGTCGGATTAAGCCCTAGGATGCCCACGGGGGTCACCGAGAGGATAACAAACCTTTTGCCAGCTGTCTTCCCTTCTCCATATTCGTCCTGTACCCCCAGGCTATCAGTAGGGTTTCCTGGCATCACTCCCCAAAATAAGCTTCTTGCACTTGAATCATCATCTTAGGGTCTCCTTGTGATGGAACCCAGGTACTCACTGGGGTTGGATGCATCTTCTCTGTGGGTGTGGGGTTAGGACGGGTGCCTAAAGACCCCATCGATGCAGAAGGCTTGTCTTCCTTCAGATATCCACAATCGAAGACAGCATGGCGATTCCTCAAGGGTCTAGAAATAGAGATACCATTTGACCCAGCAATCCCATTACCGCATTTAAACTGAAATGATTATAAATCGTTCTCTTATAAAGACACATGCACCTGTATGTTCATTATGGCACTGTTTACAATAGCAAAGACTTGGAACCAACCCAAATGCCCATCAATGATAGACTGGATAAAGAAAATGTGGTGTATACACACCATGGAATACTATGAAGCCATAAAAAAGGATGAGTTCATTTCCTTTGCAGGGACATGGATGAAGCTGGAAACCATCATTCTCAGCAAACTGACACAAGAACAGAAAACCAAACACTGCATGTTCTTACTCATAAGTGGGTGTTGAACAATGAGAACACATGGACACAAGGAGGGGAACATCACATACTGGGGCCTGTTGGGGGGTTGGGGGCAGACTAGGGGAGGGATAGCAGGGGGTGGGGGAATTGGGGAGAGATAACATTAGGAGAAATACCTAATGTAGATGATGGGGGGATGGGTGCAGCAAATCACTATGGCATGTGTGTACCTGTATAACAAACCTGCACAATTTGCATATGTACCCCAGAAAGTATAAAAAAACCCCTTATATATATTTAAACTAAAAAAACAAAAACAAAAACAAAAAACCAAACCAAAACAAATATCTCTAATGTCTTTTACAGTTTTTATCACTTCTGCCTGCGGCTTTATTACTTATTTATGACATCTCCGCCTGAAGTGGTGAGAATGCTACTCTCAGATTGATAGAAAAAGAACCTCCTCTTCTTTCTCTAGACATTTCCTCTTTTGTCCGTTGGCCCCGATGTTGACATGTTCTGGGCTCCTGAGGAAGGAGTTTTCCCAGGTCAGAGTAAAAGAGTAGCCCTTCTTCTGGACGGTCTACTGTCTTCATCATCAGATCTAGTCGGGGAAATGATTCTTTGGGGAGCTAATCCCAGTGGTTTGGTAAACTCACACCCTTTCTTTTGATGTCAGGGCATTTAAAACATCAGGGCTGGCTGGGTGCGTGGCTCACGTCTGTAATCCCAGCACTTTGGGAGGCTGAGGTGGGCAGATCACCTGAGGTCAAGAGTTTGAGACCGGCCTGACCAACATGGAGAAACCCCATCCCTACTAAAAATACAAAATTAGCCAGGTGTGGTGGTATATGCCTGTAGTCCCAGCTGCTCCTGAGGCTGAGGCAGGAGAATTGCTTGAACCTGGGAGGCAGAGGTGGTGGTGAGCTGAGATCGCACCATTGTACTCCAGCCTGGGCAATAAGAGCAAAACTCTGTCTCAAAACAAACAAACAAAAACCATCAGGGCCAATTACCTTTACTTGTCCAGGATGGAAACATTTGGCAGCACTTGTTCCAATATCCGTCCATTCAACAACCACATGCCCCAGCTGAGGGCTTGGTACCATAGAAAAGCAATGGAGATTCAAGAATGAACCAGCTTAGCACAGGGGATTTGCAGGGCTGTGAGACGATTCTGTGTGACACTGTAATGGTGGATCCAATAGTGGATGGCCATTTTACAGATGGCCTCCCCAGACTCCCCTGCCTCCCCAGCCTCCTCTGCCTCCCTTGCCTTTGAGTGGGCCAGGAGCTGCTGGTGCTCACTTAGCCTGTCCTGGACTCTGGGCATAGCACCTCAACGTCAGGAAAATATCTGCTGGCTCAGCTCGTCACACAGCCAAGGAAGGAGCCCCACACTGATGCTAAGGGTGCATCCTGGGCTCACTCATCAGTGCCTGCCTCCAAAACATTTCTCGACGTCTCCCTTAGTCCACCTGCATTGTCTCTGTGCCTGAGCCCTGGGCCTGCAAGGATCGATCCAGAGAATGTGCAACACACCAGGAGAGGAACCTAAACTAAGGACTCGAGTTAACAACAATGCATCAGTATTGACTCATCACTACTGATACATTAGTATCAGTATTGCAGTTGTAACAAATGCGCTCCGCTATAACCACGTGCTAATGACAGCGGAAACAGGATAGGAGGACGTGAGGGCACATATGGGAACACTACACTTCCTGCTCGTTGTTCTGTAAACCTGAAACTATTCTAAAAAATAAAGTCTATTAATTAAACACCAAAAATGGTAATGAGCCTGTAGTCTTGGCCCTTACGGAATTCGCTGTCAAGAGGAAGAGGAGGCTGGGCGCAATGGCTCACACTTGTAATCCCAGCATTTTGGGAGGCCAAGGTGGGCAGATTGCTTGAGCCCAGGAGTTCAAGACCAACCTGGACAAAGAGAGAAACCCCATCTCTCCAAAAAAGACAAAAATTAGCCAGGTGTGGTGGTGCACACCCGTAGTCCCAGCTACTCAGGAGGCTGAGGTGGGAGGATTGATGGAGCCTTGGAGGTCGAGTCTGCAATGAACCATGATTATGCCACTGCACTCCAGACTGGGCAAGAGAGTGAGGCCCTGTCAAGGTATGCTGCATGCTGGGACAGAGTCTGTCCAAATTAAACCTCAGGAAGGGAGATATTTACGATATACACCAGAGAGAGTCTATGACTAGCTGGTGACCCCCATGTCCTTTTAACTGTCCCTAATTTTCCTGCCTAGTTTAAATGCTGTAAAAGCATTTTACATGATGACCTGGGACACTGGAATTGGGTTGACACGATGACCTGGGACACTAAAATTGGGTCAGGCTGTGTGGGTGGGGACTGGAACCCTGAATGACAGTTTTCTTTCCAGAGATATAAGAATGTTTCATGGGTGAGAGCACAGCCTCTCTGCTGGATGCCCTGAATTTGAATCTCAGCATTGCCAGTTTGTATATAACCAGAGGATGGGTTTGGGGACCCACTGGATGCACCATGACATGAACTTGAACCAACATTCACCTGACCTCCAAAACCCCTATTCTGACTGGTAGACCCTAATTTTGTTTTGGGTCCCCTGGACCTAGTGCCAGCCGAGAGCCCATGTCCAGGTCTGATGAGTTCCTTTTCCCCTATGCAGTCATCCTGTTAAAAGGCTACATATTCGTTTGGAGGCAGGCTGGGAAAAAGACTGACAGTATGTTTTTGGCAATGGAGCAGAGCCCTTTCTGGAGGGGACCTGGCCTCCCATTCAGAGAAGGGGGTCAGGGTTTGTGAACTGGCTTATGTGGGAATTGATTGGGGATTGTGACTCTGTTTTTATGATTCAAGATAGACTTATGCTCACTTGACCTAGAACTCTTCTGCAAACACAGATCAAGTAAAAATGTGTCTTCTTATCCATTTCACTTCTAGAAACACCGTAATCAGCCGGCACCGTAGGTCTGCGAGTCAGGCTATTCTGGTTGCAGCTCTGACTCTGCCGTCCTTTAGGTAACTGCGTCCATCTTGCCTTTCGGAATTGAGTGCTGTGCCACTTGGCCCTGGCCCCTGTAGTGTGCCTCGGGCATGTCACCCTCTTGCCTTAGTCTCCTCCTCTGTAAAATTGGCATCCTAATAGCACCCACCCACAGGGCTGTTGTGAAGTAGAGATGGGTTAGCGTATGGAAAGTAATAGAAGAGGGTCTCAAATCTCATGTGTCATCAGAATTATTTGTGCTGGTGAAAAGAAAGAGCTAAAGAAGAGAGGAAGGTGCTGAGAGACCCATGTGCTCACCCACCTGTTCCCTGAGCACCTACTATGTGCTGCCCACTGTGAGAGCTGTTCGGGATGAACTAGGAAGCACAGCAGGGTAGGGTCTGCCTTCTGGAGCTTAGTGGGGAAACAATTGTGCAACATGGTCCCAGTGCTTGGGGTGGGGGAGCTCAGGAGCTCAGGGAGTACAGGGGTCTAGGATCCTGGGCAGGATTATGGAAAGGGCACAGCCTCCCCAGCCTCCCTTGCCTCCCCTGTCTTCCTTGCCTCACTGGCCTTCCTTGCCTATCCTGTCTCCCCTGCCTCTCCAGCCTCTCCTGCCTCCCCAGCCTCCTCTGCCTCCCTTGCCTTTGAGTGGGCCAGGAGCTTCTGGTGCTCACTTAGCCTGTCCTGGACTCTGGGCATAGCACGTCAATGTCCAGAAAATATCTGCTGGCTCAGCTCATCACACAGCCAAGGAAGGAGCCCCACACTGATGCTAAGGGTGCATCCTGGGCTCACTCATCAGTGCCTGCCTCCAAAATATTTCTCGACGTCTCCCTTAGTCCACCTGCATTGTCTCTGTGCCTGAGCCCTGGGCCTGCAAGGATCCCCTATCTCCTCTGTCTCTGCATGGCCAGGTCCCAGCCAATCTTGTCTGCTCACCACACCTCTCTCCCCTTGCCCACCACGCTCCGGCCCCACAGACTCTCTTTCCGCTTCTTTCCAAGCCTCTGGGCCTTTGCACGTGCTATTCCCTCTGCCCAAACACCCTCTACTGGGCTGAAACAACTCTCCGACACACCTCTCAGCTGTTGCTTCCTTTGGAACAGCCCCTGTGCTGTCCCTCTCCCGGTTCCAAGACCCACCGAGCCTTCTGTCTGTTTCAGTTCCCATGCGCCCAGCACTTCTCCCTGGCGTCCTTCTGCCCAACTGACAATGTCCATCTGCAATGCCTTCTCACCCAGCGCTGGGCCCCACTGGGTGAAGGCAATGCCTGTCATGCTCACCACTGTATCCCCTCCCCCATCACCACGCCTGGTCCACAGTGACGCTCAAAAAATATCTGTAGGTAGGCAATGCAAAGATGCATGCCATCCTGCAGGCGGAATTCTCCACGAGTTTTGAGCAGCCTCGGTTTTCCCACCGCCTCCAAATCATGCAAGATGCAAGATAAGAGAAAGACAAGGTGGCTGTGGCTGATGCCCACCCTCTCGGGACGTCCTTCTCTTCCCTCCTCCTTGGGCAGGGAGACCATCGGGGTGCAACCTGGCCGGGGCCGGGTTGGAGGTGCAGGCCCTGGCTGGAGTGGGCCTGGCCCCGGGGAGGGGACGACAACCGATCCGACCGCCTGGGCCGGGGCAGGTGAGCGCGGCGCAGGCCGGGCCCGGCGAGTCCGCGGTGCGCGCGAGCGGCCAGCAGAGGGCGCCAGAGAGCCAGGAGCGGCCCGCTGAGGAGCCCGCGCCGGCCCCGATGCCCAGCTCCGCGCGGCGCGGACCCACCGAGCCCGCGCTCAGACGCCCCAGCTCCGCGGAGAGGCCGCTCGCGCCGGCTCCTTCCTCCTCCCGAAGTGCAGGCAGAGCCCCCGGAGCCATGGCCAGCCCTTCCGGCAGCTCCGAAGCCACGGGCAAGCCCCGCGGCAGGGATGGCCGGCCCAGGAGGGAGGAGGACGACGTCCCTCCCGAGGAGAAGAGGCTGCGGCTGGGGCCCGAGGACGGGGAGGACGCGCCGCGGCCGGGCCGGGAGGAGACCGGCACCCAGACGGGCGGCGACGGCAGAGGAGTAAGCGATGGGGGCGCGGCGTGGGGGCGGCGGGGGCTCCGGGGCCGGCCCCGGGTGGAAGTTGGTAACTGAGCGGCAACTCCGGGCGCGGAGTGACAGCGCGGGGGACCTCCGGGAAGCCAGCTGCCCTTCTCGGTGTGTGGCTCCGGCTTCCTCCTTCTCCCACGACGTCCCCGGCCTGGAGACCCGCTGGACGCTGCGGTGGCCACACAGGGGAGGGGGAGCCCCGCGTGCTGGGGGCCCCCAGCAGGGGAGGGGGCGGGGGTTGCGCTGGGCAGACCTCGCATGTGCCCCCCACCCCGGGCGTCTTGTGTGGGCACCTGCTTGGGACTCTGTCGAGGGGCTTGGGTGGGGAAGTCCCCGGCGCCAGGCTTGGCCAACCCTGCCCTGCTGGGCTGCGGGCTGGCGGCGCTCACCCAGCTCCTCACCTGCCCCGCAATCTTCCTGTTTTTCTTCCCTTTCTGGCTGGGCAGCGAGAGTTGAGAGGAGGCAGATGGCTTCCATCCCAGAAATCGCTCTCCTCTTTCCATCCCTTCAGAGAGGGACGGAGAGGCAAAGTTCCTCGCATCCCCCGGGCGCTGTCCCTGTGAGCTCCGCGTGTGCTGGACACGTGGGTCCCTGAGTCACCGGGCCTGTGTGTGTGGGATGGAGCTCCGTGACCTGTCTGGCTTCCTGGGGTTCACTTTGTGCTTCCCACCCTAATTCTTCCCTTGTGGCTTTGCTGGCCTTCCATTGGGGAGGCACATGGGTTTGGAGGGCAGACGAGGGCCGGCTGGTAGCAGTACCCCTTAGTGAGGGCCGCCACCTCGATGGCTTTTGATGGATAATGGGGTTGACCTCTTTGTGCCTTCTAAATGTTTTTAATGTTTGACCATTTGCTCAGCTGAGCTTGTCTTAATAATTTGATTCCTGGTTAATGAGCCCCACGTGTGAGAGAGGGCGCCCTTCATTCTGAACACATGTAGGCAGCATGGGCAGCTCACCTCGCACTGGGCCGCATCAGAGCCCCCCGCCCGGGCTTGGGGTTGCTCCTGGAGGCTGCCTGGGAGCCTTTCTTCTGGTGACACCCTCACCTCCCCGTGCACGCTACTGCATTCAGAGCTTGAGTCACCTGGACACCAAATGCAGGTGAATTCTCTCTGAGATCCGGGGAGGAGGGGGAGGACAGTTCTCTGGAAGGTTTCCCTGGCCCCATCACGGAAAGGATGAGAAGGGAGAAGTCCCAGTTGGGAACACAATTATGGTGGCAGGGTAACGCATGAAACTTTGTTGTGTGAAGTCCCTTTCCCTTCTCTCCCTCCCTGTTTTACGCCGATTCTGCCAAAGACCAGGATACCAGAATGCAGTGAAGCCACCAAGTGTTGTGTAACCTCGGGCATGTGGATCTGGAGCCAGGTGGCTGGGGTTTGCATCCTGGTTCTGTCCCTCCTTAGCTGGCTGACCTGGCACAAGTCACTCACCCTCTCTGAGCCTTAGTGTCTTCAGTGGCAAATGGATCTGCCAACAGGCCCCAATTCATGGGGCTGCTGTTGCTGAGAGGAAGGGAAGCTCGTCTGTAGACGGCACTCAGCATGGTGCCTGGTACAGAGTGTTTGCTCCTTACATGGGACTTAGGACTGAAACTCATGCCTTGGTGTGTGTTTGGAGTGATGTTTAGTTCTGGGGTGCATCACAAGAGACAAGGTTCTTGGCCAGGTGTGGTGGCTCAAGCCAATAATCCCAGCACTTTGAAAGGCCAAGCAGGGAGGATTGCTTGAGCCCAGGAGTTTGAGACCAGCCTGGGAAATGTGGTGAAGCCTCATATCTACCAAAATGAAAAGAAAAAAACAGACCTGAGTATGGTGGTGTGTGCCTGTAGTCCCCACTACTTGGGAGGCTGAGGTGAGAGGATCTCTAGAGCCTGGGAGGTCAAGGCAGCAGTGAGCTGTGATTGTGTCACTGCACCCCAGCCTGGGTGACAAAATATCTCAAGGAAAAGAGAGAGACAGACATACACACACATGGGCCTTAAGCCAGGATCTTCATGTTAAAATGCTGTTTGGAGGTTAAAAAAGATTATATATTGAGAATGAAATATTCAAAAGGCAGAAACCCCACTCAAGTTTTTGGTCCACCAGGGGAAATGGGAATCCCACGATCTGAAGGAAAGAGGAACCAAGTGGAAACCGTCCTTGTTTTCTGAACCTGAATGTGGTACCCTCTTTTCAGGGTGCCTGCATCTGCTCAGTGTGGTGTCCCCTCAAAAAGAGGGAATCTTGATTTTCAAACTTAGGGTTTGTCCCAAAGCCCACTGCTGCTCACAAAGCCTGGCAGCCAGACTGCTCTTCCTTTTTAGTTTCTATGGGAATACTCTCTTTGAAGAACCCAGGAAGCAGTGTCAGGCCGGCGTGAGGATCGGCAGTGATTTCTTTGAGGAGGAGAGTCCGTTTCTTCACTCGTAGGTTATGTCTGAGTGGATCAAGAAGCACACAGTGCCCTTTTATGAGATTTTGTCTGCGTAGACCATTAGCTTGGTAAAAATGTCAAAACCATCCTCGTTCTTTAATAGCAGATTATTTTGTAGTTTTCTCTGCAAGAAGCGGCATGGGCATTCAGATGCTTTTGAGGATAAAATGTTCTTTCTTATCACCAGGTCTGGTGCTCTGCGTGGCTGAGGTTTTAATGTGACTGGGTGTCCCTTGGGGTGGCTCCCAGGCTGTGTTCTTGTCGTTGGGTGGCAAGGGGTTGCTTTCTTTGGTGGTGGCTGGAAGATGTTTCAACAGGTAAATTGGGATCCCAGGAGCCCCCCAGTTCCAAGTTCTGCAGCAGGGCATCTGTTTATGAGGGGCAATTCCCTGCCAATATCAGAAGTGTCACCCCGTTGAGAAGTCTTAGAAAACCTGGCCCTCCCCAAGCCTTTACTGACCCCTTGTGAATGATCCCAGGGTGTGTCTGACCCACAGCTCTTCCCGGAGGGAGAGGAACGTCTCTTCTATGTATTTGGTTATCAACCTTAACCATCAGCTCAGCCTTCCCCAAGCCCAGGCAGCTCGGCAGAGGTCTCTGGGTTGTCAGGCAGAACCGAACATTCAAGGGTAGTAACTCATCGGAGTCCCTGAAGTCCCTGATGGACTCACCAGGTGAAAGCATCCAGTCTAGGGCTGGAAGCAGGTCAGGAAGGTTATTGTCAGCCTGGGCTCCTGTAGAGGTGAATCCACAGTGCAGGTATTTTTCTTCTTGCTGGGGGGAAACCTGGGTTTCTCGGCTTTGGCACAGTCACAGCGTTTGGGGTCAGACGGCTGGTGGTGGCGGTGGGCTGTCCTGCGTGTTGCAGAGTGTTTAGCCCCGTCTCTAGTCTCCATCCTCTAGATACCATCCTCCCCGCCTCAGCTGTGGCTACTCCAAATGTCTCCAGGCGGTTTCAGATGTCTTGGGGTAAGGGAGTGGTGTGTGAGCAAAACCACCCCAGCTGAGAGGCACTGGTCTACACTTGTGAAAATGTTTGAGGGTGAGTGTCCAGCCTGGGTCTCTGCCGTACCCTTAATGAGCAATGTGGCCTTGGGAAATTAATCCTGCTCCAGGGGCCTCAGTGTTCTCATCTATAAAATGGAGAGAATGAGATACAATCTCATAGGAAGGTTATGTGGGATTTACTCATAGCACAATATATGGAAAATGGTAGGCCTAGCATTCATTTATTTAAAGATGGAGTCTCGCTCTGTCACCCAGGCTGGAGTACAGTGGTGCGATCTCTGCTCGTTGCAACCTTCGCCTCCTGGGTTCAAGTGATTCTCCTGCCTCAGCCTCCCGAGTAGCTGGGGTGACAGGTGCATGCCACCACGCCCGGCTAATTTTTGTGTTTGTAGTCGAGATGGCATTTCACCACATTGGCCAGGCTGGTCTCAAACTCCTAACCAGGAGTGCCTCGGCCTCCCTCTTTTTATAGAGAGACCCACTTTCTATAAAATATTAAATTAAAAAAATTAGCAGGGTGCAGCAGCACACACCTATAGTCCCAGCTACCTGGGAGACTGAGATGGAAGGATTGCCTGAGATGGGGAGGTCAGGGCTGCAGTGAGCCATGATCATGCCTCTGGGCTCTAGGCTGGGGCCCAGAGCAAGATTCTGTCTAAAAACATAATTACATCCTTTTGCCTTTTTAAAGACTGACTTAGGCCAGATGCAGTGGCTCATGCCTATAATCCCAGCACTTTGGGAGGCCGAGGTGGGTGGATCACGAGGTCAAGAGATCGAGACCATCCTGGTCACCATGGTGAAACCCCGTCTCTAGTAAAAATACAAAAAATTAGCTGGGCATGTGGCGCATGCCTGTAATCCCAGCTACTCGGGATGCTGAGGCGGGAGAATTGCCTGAACCCAGGAGGTGGTGGTTGCGGTGAGCCGAGATCGTGCCATTGCACTCCAGCCAGGGTAAGAAGAGGGAAACTCCGTCTCTAAAAAAAAAAAAAAAAAAGACTGACTTTAGCATTACTAATGTGTTTGCACATTTCCTTCCTGCTGCATGGTAGACCTAAGAACCACAACTTTTTCTCTAGGATCCCTTTCCCCTTCTGTCTCTTACATAAATTCTTCTCAAACTCCTGACCAAGGGTGATCCATCCGCCTTGGCCTCCCAAAGTGCTGGGATTACAGGCATGAGCCACTGTGCTGGGGTGGGCATAGCATTGAAACGCAGACAAAGCACGAAATACTTGGGTAATAGCATTTGACAGTTGGGTTCTCCATCCTCCGTCCTCCATCCCCTCATGCACTGGTGAGGTGTGGGGTGGAGTATCCTCCACCTAGACAGCAGAGTGGATTTGGGTGTCGTCTTGCCTTTCTGCACAAGTTCCTTACCGTGTCCCCTGGTTTTTGAGGATCCGTGTCCCCAGGATCCTATGAGGCAGGGACAGGGACAGGCAGGGCATGTGGCCCTCCTAGTTCTCTCCCATGTTGAGGACTTGCAGAGCCAGCTCCCCAAGACAGGGTGTTTGGACCAACATTTTGGGTTTCCATTTGAGCACAGCTGGACTACACAGGCTGAAGCTCTCTGCCGAGATACAGATATTTCCCTGGCAACGATCTTTCAAGCCAACACGAGGACACAGCCACCCGCTGGAACACAGTGTGTCTGCCGTGGCGCTCTTGTAATTAAGGAGGCAGCTCCTGAGGAATGCGGTGCCTAAGTGGGAAATGGTGGGACGTTCTTGCATCCTCCACTGGCTGAAAGTGCTGCGCAGGTTGGTGGAGGGTCCGAGAAGGAAGAAGACACGGAGCGCATTCCTGTTAGCCGTGACGGAGAGGGGTGGGTATGCACTGGACATTTCAAGCTTCTCCAGAGAAGCAAGTCTCTCTGTGCTGGGAGGACTTGTGGAGTGGGCGGTGTATGGTGATGGGCTTTAATTATTTCAGAAATATTTAACCGCAGGACCAGCAGGCTGGATCTTGATTTGTGTTTCTCAGCTGGAAAGACTTTGTACCATAGGCAAATGTCTTCTCAGTTCTTTTTTGAGATGGAGTCTCTGATGCTAGGCTGGAGTACAGTGGCGCAATCTCAGCTCACTGCAGCCTCCACCTCCAGGGTTCAAGCGATGCGATTCTCCTGCCTCAGCCTCCCGAGTAGCTGGGACTACAGGTGTGCACCACCACACCCGGCTAATATTTTGTATTTTTAATAGAGACGGGGTTTCACCATGTTGGCCAGGATGGTCTTGATTTCTTGACCTCGTGATCTGCCCGCCTCAGCCTCCCAAAATGCTGGGATTACAGGTGTGAGCCACCGTGCCCAGCCAATTCTTTTAATTTCATTAAGGTGGTCATTATTCTTTCGGTGGCCTCTGGAATGTGACACAGAACTCAAGGGACAGGAAGGAGATGAGCTGGAGGCTGGGACTGGGTCCTTGCCAGGGATGCTGGTGACTCACATGGCAGTGTTGGAGAGGTGTGGAGTCTGGTGCCTGATTTGGGGGAATGTTTGTGAGTTACATTCCAAAGGACTTACAGATCCGTCAGGTACTGGAGGTGAAGGGTCAAGTTTGACCTAAGGGCTGACAACGTCAGTCAAGAAGAGGAAGTTGATGTTGGACTCATTGGCTGGGGTTGCTCTGGGACCCAGGGGCGATGTGTGCCAGGACAGATGGGTCTGGGGCTAGGAGGGCAGGTTTTGGCTGGAGATTCGGGCTTGGGAGGCATCATGACTGCAATTGCCTGGGGTGAGAGTGGAGACAGACAAGATGGGGGTTTTGCTCTAAGCCCAGGGAATCCACCTCCC